AGATACCTCTGCCTGGGCTCCCTAATCGCTATGGCCCCGGCTTTGTTTTACATAATTCTAAAGTAAATGCCATGCTTCTTCTTTGGGAATTCCAGGATTAGTATTCAGAAAAGCGTATGTTTCCAAGTAGATTGCTGGGCAAGGAGCTCCACTTTCCCAAACAGAAAGACCATTCATGTCGTGAGTGCACTAAGCTTTACAAAGCACAGACTGCCACTGAATTCTCTTTGGAATTGAAATGCAATTTCATATTGAGGACAAGTGCTAAATATAAACAGGAAAGGCCAAATACATTCCTTTTTCTTTCTTTCTTTCTTTTTTTTTTTTTTGCTTTGTTTTTGCAGTATGTTTGCAGGAAGAATTAACTACCTCAAACACACTATAATCCTTCATTAAAACACACAGATCTGGCGACTTGGCGATCCTTCATCTACCCTTTTCAGCTTATTATAATGCTAAAGGACTGGTCCTTTATTTACAAACAATTACGAGGATGTTGCAGAAATTAATTTAAAGAGCATGTCATTAAGAAATATGCAGAACAAAATACTATTGTGTTCACCTTATGTATGAAAAAAAAATTACATGTTTGTCCTAGTAGCTCCAGCTCTCAACTTGACAGCCTAGAGTCATCTGGGAGGATTAAGTTCCAACTGAGGACTTTCCTTTATCACACTGGCCTGTGGGCAGTCTGTGGGGGCTTGTCTTGACTATTAATTGATGCAGGGAGGCCCAGCCCACTGTAGGAGGCACCGCCCCTAGGCAAGGTGGCCCTGGGCTGTATAATAAAGCCAGCTCAGTAGGAGCCTGAGGGTAAGCCAGAAAAGGCAGCAAGCAATGTTCCTTCCTGGGTTCTGCTTGAGTTCCTACTTAAGTTCCTGCCTCACTTCCCCCAATGATGGATTGGGACCTGGAATGGAAGCCAAATAAACCCTTTCCTCCCCTAAGCTGTGCTGCTTTTGGCCAGAGTCTTTTAGCAACAACGGAAGGAAAAGTAGAACAAAGTTGCACAGTGATAAAAACAATTAAAAGGTAAAAATCCCGGTAAACAAGGATGATAGTCATAAGTGTTCAAGTATCAGTCTCTTATTTAATGAAGAAAGGAAAAACAGTATGCATGGTAGATGCAGTTTTTTAAATAACTAACATACAACTAAATAACTAATCAACAGTTGTTAATTGTTTTAAAATATTACACAATGGGAGTTAGGCATGGTGGCATGCACCTTTAATCCAAGCACTTGGGAGGCAGAGTCAGGTGGATCCCTGTGAGTTTGAGGCCAATCTGGTCTACAAAGAAAGTTCTAGGCCAGCTGGGCCTACAGGGAGACCTGTCTCAAAAAAAGACCAAAAATTAAAAAAAAAAAAAAGAAAAAGAAAAAAGTTTAATGGAAAGGTGCCATCTAAAAAGAA